TTTTCACGGAAGACATGTGAGCGATATTGGAGGAAAACCTAATTGATCGTGTGTTACTTCGTAATTTTGAACAGGTACTATCTTACCAACCACGCAGTCTTCCGGATTAGGACTACAGTGCTTTAATGACGGTGAGAAAATGCATGACAGGATAAGAGAGCAGTATTAAACAGTGTTTTTCAGGAATTTTGTATTGATATCATCAACTCCACATGATGGTGAGTTTTTAGGTTTTTGATTGACCGCACGAATACCTTCGGAGGTAACTAAAATAGCATCCATGGGTAGGTAAGGGGGTGACAGCAAGGTTATTTGGTTATTGATGGTCACGTGGTGTGAGAAAGCCTTCATGAATAGGCCGTTTAATACAGATGCGCCTTCTACGTCGGGCACGAGATGCCCATCAGCTGTCAGCAAGGCTATAGTGCGATTCTCGCTGCCAGGCCCAAAATCGCAAAACTGTCTAGGGTTATCGTTCTGCATAGTTGGTAGAGTTTTACTCAAAAAGGAGAACTTAGCGTGTTTCAGCGCAGATAAATAGGTCGCAGCCGCAGATTCGTAAGTTGACCAACGTTTATCGGATGCGGATTGGACAGCAACACAATAAAACATTTTCTTACGATTAGAAAGATGGTTAACGTATCTGTTGTACCATGGAGCACTAGCATTACAAAAAAATTTTTAAGGGGATATATTTACCAGTTAGTTTGCATACTTCAGCTTTGAGTAAGTCCCAGTGGCTATGCACCAATCGTTTGGTGTGGTTCGGTAAGAAGTCATCTAAGACGCTACCCAAATCATTGTTTATTGAGTGAAAGCCAGTGTTTTTGTAATCGCGTATTGTTTTAGGCTAACTACACTTGCATGAGAGTTGTAGGAGGATATGCACTTGAATAATATTGCGATCGCTGTACCAGGTATGCTGGTCACAGAAGATACGATGTCTGGCTCCGCTGTCAAAAAAAGGAAGATGTAGTATTCGTAACACGTGTAGGAATATTAGAGTTTCGTATGACATAAATCAGAACAGATGCGAATGAAATTCTCTAATCCAGCTGAGTTAGGCGATGATTATGAATAAGAAGTTGACGACACAATGTTAGTCAAATTGAAATTACAGTGTAAAATTACAGCTGCACCGGCAAAGAAAACGTTCAAGCGACGCAGGCAATCGCGCAAGTCCTCGCAAGAACTTCATTGTTTGATTGATATGTGGAGTTTCACGTCCCAAGGCCACCGTATGATTATGAAAGACGCCCTTGTGGAGGGCTCCGGAAATTTTGCCCACCTTGGGTTCTTTAGCGTGCACCCAAATCTGAGCACACGGGCCTACAACATTTCCACCTCCACCGGAAAGCAGCCGCCGCAGCTGGGATTCGATCGCGTGACCTGCGGGTCAACAGCCGAGTATCTTAGCCACTAGAGCACTGCGGCAGGGCCATCGCAAAAACCTGAACAACCGGGTGGTGGGTGGTAACATACGCCAATGACAACTTTTTCAAAAGGCACGCTGAGGCAACATCAAGTTGCCTATAATACCGAGTCCATTGCAACAGTGTAGCTTTGTATTCTCTGATTCACTGCAAGAAGAACACCACTGCCCCATTTACTACGTCTGTCGCAGCGATATATTTTGTAGTTTTTGCGCAGCGCAGTAGTTCTTCTCTCCGAATTTTCTCACAGATTCACGTTTATGTTACCGCAATAATATCGCTGTTATAATCATTAACTGTTTCAAAAATTTCATCCTTCTTAGAAGGTTGCGAACATTGGTATAAAGTATGATCAATTTTTTGAGGTCATCGCAAGCGCCCCCCCCCTCCTGCTTTTTGCTAGCTTTCCCAGGAAGTAAATAATTGATGACCCGAACGAAGTTGCCGCGAAGATAACTTTGCGACCCAAGTGGCAGTAATGATGTATCTGGATGGCCCTATTTTGCGCAAACCATCAGTAACGTAGTCGTAGCAGTACAATTTCTCATTAGCAAAAGGTATGTTGTAACGCAGGTTAAATGGGCAAAGAAGCTTTTTGGCGAAGTTGGTCAGCATCACCCTAGCACGGCGAGCCTTGGAAGAAAAATCTTCTCGCATAACCACTTTTCTTCGTTTCAGTAATTCATAAAGTATGGGGCTCAATGAATGCTGGCCTTTCATATACCTGAACAGTAAACAAGTGTTCTGTTGCGGTAATATTTGGTAGTCGCCTTACTTCTTTCTTCAAGACCAAGCAGTCAGTGATGCAAGCACTGAGGAGAATGGTTGAAGGGCCCGGACGCCCTTTATTCTGAAATTAGCTTTTCATCGTTGTCTTTGTTACAGGTACTATGGCAACTACAGCAGATTGGGTAGGCTAGTAAATATGACTCAGTTGACAAATCTGTTGCGCGTAAATTGCGTCATCAGCTGGATTAGTTTGTCGGTGTTTCCTGCGCTGGGTGCTTTTCTTTTGCACGCAGTGCGAATAATCGCAAAACAGAGTAGAGATCGCCGTTGGAAGTAAAAACCTGATCTTGCAGTTCTTGTTATAGTCATTCTCAGTAAAATGTAAAAAGAACACGACCGACCACTTGCTCGGCTTTCACTTGTTTTCTCTTCTGACGGTCCTTGCCGAGCAATATATTCTTCAGCCATGCTTTGCGCTGCAGTATATTTCAGGGGAATTCTTAGTTCTGCACGCTAGCCCGTCTTGTCGCGTTCAATTTGCACAGTGGCACACACAATGGCACAACTGACTCGTTGCATTACACCACTAAGACAAACAAAAAAAAACACAACGGCCAATGCGCACACTATAAAACTGTCCTCATACACAGAAAACATGTGGCAAGCTACTGTTTACACACGATCGTACACAAAAAAAAGCTCGAGAAAGCACACGTCAAAGCACACGGTCACCAACAAATACTCACGCACCCATATTTAAACACGGAGTGCCGTCCGCTTTGACGGTGAAACGTCAACGCCTTCCTAAAGAAAAAAAAAACCAGCCGAATCTGTCAACTCTGCCCAGACCCGCTCACCCATTGACTGCGACGCGACGCAGCACGCCGCACTTTGTTTTTGATCCAGCGGCCGTGGTAATACAAACACAAGACTAAAGAATGCGTGGTGCAGGCTCGAGATAACGTTGTAGTAGAAAAGAGTGACTAGCTAACTTTGCACTGCCTTGCGCAAGAAAAAATTCTGCAAAACCATAATGTCTGGCCTAACCCAGCATAGCTGCCCGAATAAATGCGATTAGAAATTCATACACAGGGAAAGTCGGGTGGAAGCAGACGTTGCGACAAGTGGACTTGCTGAAATTCCTGCTACAGCACTGAAACTCCGTTGAAAAATTTATCTTCGCAAACTTTCAGTTGCTCGTCTTGCCATTTTCTTTCGTATGCGAGCGGTGCTTCAATTGGGGAGCATGTGCAGAAAAGCATTATTGCGTCATTGAGGCAATTATGTGCCCAAGTGGTTGATAGCTCAAGACAAGGGTCCAAGAAGTTGTTGTTGGGCTAGTTGGTAGAACATTTTGAAAGACTAACTCAACACACGACACATTCACGCACACGCTAAACCGGGCATCAAACACGCACAGTGCTGAATTCTAAATGATTTATTTATAGCACGAAAGCTTGAATATATGAATGTGGCAAATGTGCGCATGAACAACGAAGACGGCCATCAGCCTACACGATCAAGACATACAGTTTATCTTCTCACAGATAGGAACCAATAAACTGGTATTTGCTTCGGAACAAAGATAGCAAAGGGGCGCTTTCATAATGACTCTATTTTTTTATGAAAAAAGACCTATATAATGCCTCACGTGTAGTTTTCCTTGCACTTATGCCTAGAATCTGTCTCAGAGAATCGCGCGTCACAAAAGCACAAAATTACATGCGCAACCAGGTGCGTATGCTTGTCATCTTGTTTTGTAAATTTTTGGGCGAGTGCCCGTAACCGCTCATTCATACATCGGTTGGTTTGGACGATGTTTACCTTGCCGCCGAATAAGGGCGTTAAGTAACGACTCCCGTCGAAGATTTTACATAAGGCTTCTCAAACTTCTTTTCGCAGCCGCAATTTTCGCAATCACCAATAAGTTGGCACAATTTCCCAATTTTATCGGGTGCCACAAACACCATCGGTACATCGTGCCTGCCTGGTGCATTGTTGAAGGTTTGCGACAGCTTATGGATATGAAGCCCATCTCGTGGCCCTCACTGAATCCCTTTGATTTGTTGGGTTTAACGTCCCAAAACCACCATACGATTATGAGAGACGCCGTAGTGGAGGGCTCCGGAAATTTCGACCACCTGGGGTTCTTTAACGTGCGCCCAAATCTGAGCACACGGGCCTACAACATTTCTGCCTCCATCACTGAATCCCTTTTCTAGAAGTTTAATTGTAGAACACGGGAAGTGATGACTACTAGCCAGCCCTTAAAGACTAGGTGAAATGTTTGTCCTCTCACAAGTGTGAGAGAATAAACTGTATATATTGATAGTGCATGCTGTTCGCCTTCTAGAATGTTAGTGCGCGTATGTGATAGTTGTATATATTCAAGCCTTCGTACTAAGAATAAATCAGCTGAAAGTGAGCGTTGTACAAGTTTGACACCTGGGTGTGTGCTTGCGTCGAGTGTTTGCACTCAAATTAGTGCTTTAAAAAATAGTATGGTCTAATAGGTCCTTTTTACAGGCCAGTTTTTTTATACCGAATAGGTAGCGTACTGTGCAAGCACGAAAGACTGCTGCAGAGAAAAAAGACGCTTATTCTTTGCAGCGTTATCTGCTTCCTTTCATTGTGTTTCCGCAGTAAAACTTTCGTGTGGCCTTCGTATCTCCGCACGCACCCATGTTAGCCTTGTCTCATCGCCATACAATGTATTGCATGAATATTTTTCATTTCGCGACGAAATAGCACACTGCACAACTAGTGGACATTTATCATCTCAATCTGCACACCACCAACAGCGCTACAAACAGAGTGCATATTATTTCACTAGCTCACCTGTATAGGCTACCACACACAATGTCAGAGTAGTTAGCTCGGCCACAGGTGTCCTCCTTGTCAATTATCCAATCTCGAGTCAGAAAGCCAACAAAAACTACGGGTGCTATTACAAAGAATGTGGTGGCAAACATATAAAACCACTGATGATTCACAGCATACTTCATGTCTGCAGAAAGATCTGTGAAGAGAAAAAGAATGAGTGAATTGGAGGAAAAAAAAACATTTGCTGCGCATGATAGCAATCAGCTATGAACCTCATTATTCAACAGTGTGTCCGCATTTCTAAACTATCCGTGACAAACGAACGTAAATTTTTATGTGGTATACGTTGAATACAAAACGGTGGAAAACGGAGTCTTTGTGGTCCTACCTAGATCACACACGAAAATAAGGTAGTACAGAATGTATGCACAAATGCCTTCTTACAAATAAAGAAAGGATAAGATAAATCTAAGTATTGTGTGTTGCGAAGAAAACAGATGAGGTTTTCAATACGTACCTGCTCTGACGCTGTACGAAGTCAATATCATGAGACAGAGCAGCCAAATATCTTCCCTGGTGCAGTACGAATAAGCAGTCTTGAAAAAGAGCACTATGTCATCTTTGAACTCTCGGAGCCCATGTTTCGTCCTGTGTTCAGGTGGTGCAGGATCGTCGGCGCCGGAAGGCATGGCTGACAGTCGGCTTGCCACTCGAGAGACAAAATGCTTGACTGGGAGGTTGGAGCAGCGGTCGCGTCGCACGCGGCTGCCCTTTGCGGCGATATCCGGAAGCATTACTGATAGCGTTGCGATAGTGACTCACTCCGTGGCTTCATGCATGCTCCTCACTGACTGGAACGAACATCTGAAAAGTTTCTCAACTAAGCAGGCGTTCCTTTAGAAAATGCTTTATTGTCACAACTGACATGCCTTTGTCCAATTTTTCTTCGGCACTCACGTGTATCTTTTAATATACAGCTGTCCCACCGTTAACCTCGACATCTTCATGACTCTCCATTAACGACATTTACCTTACCTTGTCGTAAAGGGCGATAAGATACAAGGAAGCATGGGCTTGTGTTGGAGAGAGCAAAGGCGCCGCGATATTAAGGCAAAAAGAAAACTCGATAGGCTCCGCCGAAAACATGTGTCAGGCTTCCAATAGATTACAGGGGACTAAGTCACTGACATTCAGCGCGACAGTGTTTAACTCATCTCGCAGATACGACTATTTCCATGTTGGCGGTGCTGTCTTTGGTTGAGCGTGAAAGGTCAGCGTTGTCCGTGATTGAAAATCTGAGACAGATGCAACTAACAAATTTATTACAAAAAATGAGTTCCAATATAACAGAGAATTCCTAAAAAAACACCGAAACGAAAAATTTTCAGATCCCACGTACAATGGGAATCGATCATACGCGAAGCGCGGATGAGGACGGTTGATATGCCACTTCAAAATAAGCCCTACGTTACGAGGTAGATGTAAATTACGCCGTACTTGACTTCCATGCCATGACTATTATGTTTAGACGTGACCTTTACCTTCGCCGTCTATTCATGTCGCGTGATATCAATGTTGGCATAAGAGGAGCCAGCGAAACAGCCGCGAGCACACTAGTAGCATAGATTATAGTCATGTTTTCTATAGTACACATGTCATGAATATCATGTTTGGACGTGTGATTTTTCTTCTTCGTCCATTCACCACACGTGATACCAGATTTCGTATATGTGGAGCTAGCGAAACGGCCGCGAGCGCGCTATGAACGTAGCATGTAGTCATGTTTTACATGACACGCATGCCATTACGATCATGTTAGGACATCGTTCATTCACGTCCCGAATGATCAAATTTGGTGTAAGTGAAAGTAGTGAAACGGCTATTGGCACATCATGAGCGTGGTAGTTGTCAAGTTCTTACATGACACGCACGTCATGAGTATCGCGTTTGCACCAGCCATATATTTTCGTAATCAATCGACATCACGAACACCACATTTGGGATGTGTGAAGCTAGCGAAGCGACCGTGAGTGCCTGGTGAGCGTAGCATGAGTCACGTTTTAAATGAAAAGCTAGTCATGATTTTCATGTTTGGACGTGTCATTTGCATTCCTCGTGCGTTCGTGTCACGCAATACCAAATGTGGTATATGCGAAGCTAGTGAAACGGCCGCAAGTGTATCATGAGTGTGGCATGTAGTCATGTTTGGCATGACACGTATATTATGATTATCATGTTTGCACTGGTCATATACTTTCGTCAGTCATTGACCTCACGTACCAACAAATTTGGTATATGTGAAGCGAAACGACCATGAGCGTACTATGGGAATAGCATGTAGTCATGTTTTACATGACAGGCATGTCATGATTATCATGTTTGGACATGTCATTCACCTTCGTCGTACATTCGCATCACATGATACCAGGTTTTGTACACATTAAGCTTGAGAAATTGTCGTGAGCGCATCATGAGCGTGGCATGTAGTCCTGTTCTTACACGACACGCATCTCACGCCTTCCACTTTAGGGTCTGTCACTTATGTTCACCATGCAGTCATGTCCCACCATACCAGTTTTGCAATATGTCTTCTACACAAAAACCTTCGCCCGAGCAGCAAGACCATGAAATATAAATCAAGACATCATATTCATGTTATGACTAGTCACTTATGCTCGTCATACCGTCATGTTATTCCATACTACTTTTGGTAACGATACTGTATAGAAACAGGCAGGGGAGCGTAAATTCGTAGGATAGATATATATATAAATAGATAGATAGATAGATAGACAGACAGACAGATAGATAGATAGATAGATAGATAGATAGATAGATAGATAGATAGATAGATAGATAGATAGAGACACTCAAAGTTGCCGCAGTTCATGATGTGATGCTTCTCATATATTAAATCACATTTTGCACTCTATCTTTCGTAACCAATTCTGCAGACGGCCCAGCTTGGTAGCAAAATGTGCAAACGAAACAGCGAGCTGCCATACAGCGTCCAAATTTTTTAATGGCATGCTGAGAAGGGTGACATTGCAAAGTGAACTCAACCGTCATAGCCTAGTTATCGAAGCAACAAGACTTTTGACCCCTCACGAGGCGCTGATATGCATCTCGCACCTTGCCGCTTTCTCTGACAAGTGTTAGCCCTGAGCACGACTAACTGCCTTATGGTGAACTGCCGTTGCTGAAAGCGTTCCAAGGGCCACCTTCAAAATATTTTCTTTTTAAATAGTTTAAATAATTTTCTTACACTTTTTTTCCTTAGCCGTAGACTTGTATATCCAACACCGCGTCGTGAAAATTTTTCCTTGAACCTCATCACAGCAATTCATAACGTAGAATATGGGAAAAATTGCATTATTTTTTGGGATTAGAAAAACTTTATCCTGGAGATTTGCGATTATTTTGTACAAAAATAAACTTTTCTGAAAACCAAAATAGTGTTAAAAATGCTTAGAGTGAACTTCAGCATGAATAGAAAAAAAAAACAAATTTCCAAAAATTTTGTTTCTCAAAGCGGCCTAGCTGGCAGATAAACGCGAAAATTTTGGAATCAATAATTACCACAACTAAAGAATGCCTAGATTGTAAATAAATATAGCTGCCCAATATTATGTATATGTATACGTATATTGTGACGCGCACTGAAATAGCGAAAAAGATGAAGTTGGATACGCTCTAGCGATGACTGCTCTAACTATTTCGCTTGGCCGGTCGAGCTCCCGGGTGTTGGCGGCATGCGGAGCTCCGACATATCCACTGTAATTGTGCTACAAGCAATGCGCAAGGAAAACTATGTTTTTATTTTGAGTTCGTTGAGCTATACTATACGATAAATATAAAGCGACTTACGAACGTAAGAAAACTATAACGTACGAGGGGACGTGAAGTGTAAATCGCTACTCGTGAATTAGCAGCTGGTCGTTCATCCTCGCTGTCCCTCTCGGTGCGTTCTATGGCCAGTGAAAAATCCTCGACGCCAAGATGTTTTTGAACACCACTGCTGAAAGTAATCTGAGGAATTCTCTCCACCGAACGACTTCAATAACACCAACAAGGCGTCACTCACCACGATGATCTGGGCGCGGACAACATTCCGCTCCGACACCCGTTAAGAAGCGACTTGCTTGCAGAGTTCCGTGATCTATCAACGAATGTACCAATCAAGCGACGCCGCATTGACCAATGTTCGGAAGAGCAAATCACGAGCCTGCGCTACTTTCCGCGTACAAAAAAATTTTTGAGATTTATTCACCACGAAAGCAATGACAAAAAGCTACACGTACGTTAAACAAGGTGAGTTTCCACTGCAAAGGTCAGATAATAACAATTATCTATCCAACGTGACTGCACAAAATCTCGCGAAGCTGTTAGGTGTACTCTGAGGGCTATAATCAAATGCACGAGTTGCCACGTATATACACGAAAATTTCGCGTCTCGCAAGAACGAATCAAATATCTTGCATCATGAACGGTTCGGTATATTCACTGATATACGAAACGTACGAATTGGTTTGTGTTCGTTTCTTGCTAATGCTGGAAGACTGAAGGTAGCACAGCCGAACAATGAAGCGTCTGCCAGATCATCATCGTCGAGAATACGGGCATGAATTTTGCTAATTTGCGCGAAAGCCTATAAACATTGCAAATATCACTGGCAACGTAGAGGAATACTATAGCACCAGTGAGAGGGTAGCAAGTATAATCACTATGTTAAACAAAAGGTACAGGGTGAAGGTGGTACAGGCCTATGTGCCTACATCAAGCTTTGATTACTACGCTGTCCTTACTCCTGACCTTCGTTATCTGCCTAACTCCATTAGGCAGTTTGATTGCGCAAGCGAAAAGGAAGCCACGTGGCCAAGAAAACGCTAGTGCTGCCATCAGCCTAAAGATGTAGTCAAATTAGCGCGAAGTGGCCAAACCTGGCAACAGAGCGAATTACTGTTTTGAAACAAAAGATGGGACCCTTAACCTTTTTCTTTAAGAGCAGGAGCGCTATAGCGATACGCTATTCTTCCACTTCTTAGCGTGTGGTGAAGCTTAAGCGCATCGTGGCACAGCAGGTGGCCCTGCCAGCGTTTTTCAGGCCAAAAGACATTTCCCTCTGTCTGCACCGGCAACAAAGGTGCGGAGAGGAAGAAGAAGAAGGAACTGGTCCCGCAGTTGACCTAGTCAAACAAGCAATAACATTAGTAACGAGACTCTCAGCAGCACGCTTTCTCTCTGCGTTCCTCGCATGTACCAACAATCGCTCACCCATAGTCGCGAACAAGGGGCCCCACGACCCTGTTACCAGCCCGACAGTGGTTGTATTAGAATGAAACTTCCTCTCTTTTGAACCAGCGATCCGGCAATTTGGCTTGTCCAGGTGGTTGCTCCGTTCATCACATGCCACGTCACAGGCGACACAACCAAATACCACCACGTAGTGGCCATTACCTGACCTGCTCAAGCAAACGAGGTGCGCGTGATTCTGTTTGTCCCACCAACAGAAGATGCATATCGAGTGTTCAAAGCGGTACTGATTTGCTGTTTCATCCCTTCAGAGTAGGAGCATTTACAGCAGCTGCTACGCGAGACTGGACTGGCCGGCCGCAGACCAAGGCACTTGCTGCGCCAGATGCTGCCACTAGCGGCCAGGACAACAAGCCTCACCAGTCACATTGAGTGGGAGCTTTTTATCATAAAATTGGCCGTA